GATTACCTTCGACCGGGAGTACCTGTTTAGCGCAGCAACAGTGATAATTTACTGAGTTCACGTGGGCTGTCCGCCATATTGCGTACTTTGCATGTGTCCACCCAGGAATGACAGGCGGACGTTCGTCAACGTGTCGGCCTCCTGCCTCACTTACCTCAGTTTTTTTCTTCCTTTTAGTGGACTCGCCCTTAGATGTCATAGGTGGAGTCACCTTGACTGAGCGAGTTCCGAACTACATACGTTTTTTGTCGGCGCCTCCATGCAGAATAACCTGATAACCTCAGGTTTTCGGCCGTGAGATCAATAAGCAGTTTGGAGCTCAAGGCAGTGTTCCTCGCCATCCGTCACTGGGCGTTATAGCACACGGGCAACACGATTGTTGTGGAGCTTAACGAGAGTTTGACCGGGTTACTGTTTCCAGACGTTCCGTCTGTTTCCAGTAATAGCTGACACCCATATCCATCTGAGCACTCAGCATATTCCTGGGTGCGGGTACATCTTAGCGGACACTATATTGGGATCTGACAGAGTCGCTTTCATAGAATAAATGCTACACAAAGAGCTACCTGTTTATGTGTCTCCGTCTCCGAATGGTCAGCCTGGGCAGTGGGTGGCTTCAGTCTTTCCTGGGGGGCGCTATATAAAAATTCGTTTCCTCCGGCCTTGCTTCCAAATGTTTTAGTCACAATCAAGACTTAAAAACTTGACTTCGACTAAATTTAGCTGGTCCCAGATGACCAACCAGAGGTTGGTTTCAAGCCTCTTCAACTAGCCAGATGTGGAAACATCCCAGTGCATCCTCATCCCACGCCAGAACGGTTCAATTAACACACTGCATCTTCAGGCGGCATTCTGCGCCAATTGCTATTCAGCCAGAGCATTGTTACTGCTTCGCTAATGAACATTGGACTTCCATTAGGCACATGTATAACGAGGGGCAGTCGTTCGAGCAGTTGTGTTGCCGCGAAGCAGGATCCGCTGAATGTATCCCCCCTGTTTTAGCAGTCTCCCTGCTGTATTTGTACAGGGAAGGCGTTTCAAGAGGGGCATTGTTGCCACTTCTGTTAGTGGCAATTCCCTTCCTTTTGGCAGTCCCCATTGACAGGAGCTACCGTCCATGCTTCGCTTGTTTAACGCTTGTGTACCCAGGCTGCAGTTTTGACCTCCCGCCAGGAATCTCAACACGGTCTTGGACCGCCTACACGTTGTGTCCTGCAAGCCACTCACGAACACTTCCCTTGCAGACTTGCACAGCAATAGCGACAAGGGTCATGCGCTTGGTGTTAATTGGGTAAAGTTTGAACGACACCGTCATGGTTCTTTGCCTCTGGGTATTTGATTGGGATTACATCTCTATAACCCATGGCAGTTGCCAGCGCGAAATGATCGATAGTTCTCTCTTTCGCCTTTATCGTCTGTTGTCGGCGTTGACGACGTTCCTGTGTTACTTTTGTGTTCAGCTGATGTACTCAGTTTGTACATTAAGAGAACCCAAGCCATCAGAGACATGTAAGCAAAACCATGAGTGTTTTGTGGATACGGACTACCATTTATTCATGCGTATAATGTGGCTGGTCTGGTTTCCCCTCATCTACGCCATCCTAATGTACACTCTCTCAAAAAAGAAACGCAACCCCTATCTAAATATCTGACATCATTTCTAGAATAAAGATGGTGAATGTAAATTAGAATTTTCTTCAAAATACTGTTAATACGTTCCAATCTGATCAGTATAAGCTCCCAAACGGAACCATTTTCACACATGATGACCTTTGTATCCGTGTTATTTGAGAAAGTGCGAAATTGTCATGTACAAAATGCTAAAAGCCTGTTGCACGTGCAAATCGTTGAAAACACAGTTCATGTAGAGGGTTTTAAAAGCATGCGTAGTTTGTAATTTTTCTCTCATAATTTGCTCTGTAAATCAAGTTCGAAAATGCCCCGTTTGAGTACAGCAAATCGAAATATTGCCATTGGTCGCATTGAGGCCGGGGAAAGCTTTGGAACAGTTGCCCGTCATCTAAACGTACACAAAACAACAATCTCCCGACTTTGGAATCGTTACACACAGTTCCATGCAATTGAAGATCGTCCCAGGAGCGGTAGACCTAGGATCACCACACCGGCTCAGGATCGCTTTATTCGACTCAGCCACCTACGTAATCGGCATGCCACACCCACCATCACTGCAACACAGGTGCCAGGTTTGAGGAGAGTATCGGCCCAAACCATCAGGAACCGTTTACATGAGGCAAATTTACGTGCAAGAAGACCAGTTGTTGGGCCCGTCTTGAAACGCCAACATCGACGCCAACGTCTCAGGTGGTGTACTAACGTAAGGAGATGGACCCTAAGAAACTGGAGAAGAGTCTGGTTTAGTGACGAGTCTCGTTTTCTTCTTCAACGACGTGACGGTAGACAACGTGTCTATAGACGAGCAAATGAACGTTTTGCACCGAACTGCGTTCGACAGGTCGACAGATTTGGAGGAGGAAGCATCATGGTATGGGGAGCCATGTCTTACAACCAACGGTCAGACTTGGTCATCATTCGTGGCAATTTGACGGCACAACGGTACATTGATGACGTCTTACAGCCACATCTTCTGCCGATAATCGACCAACAGAGGGAGTCTTTTCAACATGACAATGCCCGCCCTCATACAGCTCGTGCAACAGTGGCATTCCTACAGAATTCAAACGTCAACGTGATGCCGTGGCCCTCCAGATCGCCAGACATCAATCCTATCGAACATCTGTGGGACCAGCTGGATCGTCGTGTTCGTGCACGTACACCACAACCGCACACGTTGGTTGAACTGGCCGCAGCACTCCAGGAAGAGTGGAGAGCAATCCCCCAGGAAAACATCCGCCGTCTGATTCGTTCTGTTCCGAGGAGGTGCACTGCTGTGATTAGAGCTCGTGGTTCTACAACGAGATACTGAAGACAACGCCCCCTAGCGTAAATTGAGAGTTCGATACTGACCTGCATTAACTGTTACCTTATACCGTGCTGACCTAAGGTTCACCATGTCAAATTTCATGGCATTATCTTTAAAAATACAAATGTAATAACCAGTTAAAATTGATATAAACATTACCCAAAAAAACAGGGGTTGCGTTTCTTTTTTGAGAGAGTGTACTTCGTACACTTGCCTGGACTATGGCACTTCACAGTAACTGTACAGTGGCATTGATCATGCATGAGTGTTTCTAGACGTCGGACACAGTATTCGCCAATCAGTATCCACACCACATGTGTCCAACGCTTGGGACCATTGGTGCCAGACAAGCACCTCACCAATCCTCGACCTCATTGTTGTTCGCCTCGAAGCACAATGATGTCATGTGGGGAATGAGTTGTTTTGAGAAAACAACTGGGTATGTCAGTTAAGGAGTCACACTTGAATAGAATCAAGTCCATGCTTTTTACTGCATTCCCTAAAGCTAATAGCGCTTTAAAACCGTGTGGTCTCTTTTCCATTTAAGCGTACATGGCTTACATGCGAATTGCCACTGAGATATAATCCCTCTGCCCACCATTCTTCCAGATTCCACGAAGGTGCCTTCCTTCAAGATATTTCTTCCCACGAAGCACGATGACGCCATGTGGGAAAAGAGTTGTTCCGAGGGAAACAACTGGGTGTGTCAGTTAAGGAGTAACACTTGGAAAAACTCAAGTCAATACTTTTTACTGCATTTCCCTAAAGCTAATAACGCTTTAAAAATCGTGTGGCCTTTTCCGTTTAAGCGTACATGGCTTATATGCGAATGACCACTGAGATGTAATCCCTCTCTGTCGACCAGTCTTCCAGATTCCACGATCGAAGGTGTCTTCGTTCATGATATTCTTCCCACGAGGCATGATGTCGCCGTGTGGGAAAAGAGTTGTTCCGAGGGAAACAACTGGGTGTGTCGGTTAAGGATCAATACTTCGAAAACTCAAGTCACTGCTTTTTACTGCATTTCCCTAAAGCTAATCTCGCTCTAAAAATCGCGTGGTCTTTTTCATTTAAGCCTACATGTCTTCTATGTGAATAACCACTAAGAGATAGTCACTGTCTGTTGACTATTCTGCCAGGTTCAACGAAGATACCTTCCACCATGCTTTTTCTTCCCATGAAGCACGCCGACGACGTATGGGAAAAGAGTTGTTCCAGGAGAACAACTGGGTGTGTCAGTTAAGGAGTAACGCTTGGGTTAATCCGAGTCACTGCTTTTTACTACATTTCCCTAAAGCTAATAACGCTTTAAAATCGTCTGGTATATTCCATTTAAGACTACGTGTCTTATGTGCGCATTACTACTGCCTGATCGTCACTCGCCGTCCGATCTAGGTGCGACGACGGTTTTCCACCACCGAGGCGCACTTGATAACATTGACCGAGCTGTCTTTGTTTACCTTGCGAGGCGATCCCCTCAGATGACACGCCCTCCATCCTGCCTGTCATATAAATGTGCAGGAAGTAAGTAGTGCAGGATTAGTTAAAAATTTAGTAAAATCTAAATATTTTTTATATTTGTATATTTATCCTGCACTACTTATGATAAGGGCACACCCTGCGCTTTCAGCTACCTACCCTCTTTGTTTTCATCTGTGGGATTTACGGCAATAATCAGAGGTGGCTGACGTCACCTTCCGGTGATGCGTGCGCAGACGGATGTTTACCCGAGACCAGGAAGTGATCACAGTCTACGCTTTTAACATCAATCGTCTGGCACAGCCACGTTTCGAGTCGTAAGCAATAAGTGCAGGAAGTAAGTAGTGCAGGATAAGTATATAAATATAAAAAATATTTAGATTTTACTAATATTTTCCATTCGTTTTCTTTAAATTTCAAAATGATATGTTGAAATGATAAGTTACGATGTTGAAATTTCAAGATAATAAGTTGATATTTTCATGAAAAATAACAGAAAGAAACGAATGACCCAAAAGGCTGCCGTACCAATCTTACACAACTCTTTAATAATCTATACTCCTTGTTCTCTCTTCTACAGTGTCTGATGTTTATGCCACGGTCCAGAAGGTTCAATGCAAACAGTTTGTGAACAGGGCTTATGCAGGTGCAGGACCATCGGTAAGTTATGGAACTGTTTTCCTTAAAAAATAATAATACGAGATAGGGGGTGGAGGCAGGCAACGTGGAGTAACGAATGCATGAATTAAACTTTCACATTGCACCAATAATACTAAGGTTTTTGGTTCCATAAGAACTGGCCATCAGCAGCCTATGCTTGTCGTTAGAGGCGACTAACGGGATTGGGTGGTCAGACTTGTTTGACACATATAACATCGTATCAGCGGGATTGGGTGGCACATCTTACATCTTGTTTGACACATATAACATCGTATCAGCGGGATTGGGTGGCACATATAACATCTTGTTTGACACATATAACATCGTATCAGCGGGATTGGGTGACACATATAACATCTTGTTTGACACATATAACATCGTATCAGAATTGTGAATATCGATGCTCATGACGTCGACCACCTGATTTTTCTCATCCCAAATCGATCGTTCACTGACGTCTACTGCTGAGTGTGGCGTAAAGCAAGCAGATAAACGTTCAAATTGATTCTATTTCTAAAATAAGCTTAACATATTTTAAAACATCTGTCAACACAGGACAGTCAAACAACATCACAACATCTTTGTTTTCTGCATGATTCCCCAGCAAGATTTATGCCATCACTTTGGTCACCATTTTTGGCTGTAGGTTAAAGAGAAGAATAAAGAAACTCGCAGCTATACCAAGACGAGGCCAATGTCGAAGTTCTAAAACACTAGTCAATGTTATTTTTATCAAGAACAGACTTACGTACAACTAGTGGGACAATACTTTCACATTACGTCCATCAATAATTTCAGTTGATGATATTATTACATTATTTCAATATTCATTAAAGTAATTCAGTTAAGTTTAATTCTTCATAAAAATCAAGAATTAAATGAGCATTAACATTATCAAAAGAAAGTCCTTTCAAGAACTTGAATATGATGGAATGAATGAGATGTGTGAAAATGTCACGTGTTTAGTACATTGCCATTAGATCGTACATGTGTTTGTTATTTCCAGTCTGAAAATGCAGTTCTAATCGACTGTGCAGGACCAGTTGCAGACGAATACAACAACTGTGGAGAAACGGTAGGCTTTTTGTTAATATCCTGCCACGTTCCGGGGAAGAAACGTCTCTGATTGGCTGACACAATGCCGACGCGAAATTGTAGCTCACTCAAAGAGATAGCATAATCTGCTGTAGAGAACTGGTTGGTTCGGTAAATGTATCAGGTGAAATTCCCCTGAAAGATAATATATTGTAACTCACTGCACTCAAAGAGATAGCATAATCTACTGTAAAGAACTGGTTGGTTCAGTAAATGTATCAGGTGAAATTCCCCTGGAAGAAATGTTCGACAGTTGTAAGTGCAGTTGTGTTTAACTTTCAGAATGATGACGGTCTGACCTACGTCGATCTTGCCCTTCAGCCCCATCATACACAGAAAGGAGGAGCCCATGGTATATGAGGAGACAGACTTCGCCCTCACCCCCGGGCCGCAGCTGCCGGACAAGATCTGGGAGGTTGAGGAGGAGGAGAGAAGGCAGTGCTTCTGGGAATGATGATGAACAAACCTTGACAATCCCTAGCTGCCGGACAAGATCTGGGAGGTTGAATGGGAGTACAGGAGAATCTCGAGGTTACATTGAGTGAGTGAGTGAGTGGGGTATGTGAAATTGGGTTTAACGTCGTGCTTGAGAATATTTCGCTCATATGACGACGTGCATGCATGTGTATGTGTATGTGCGGCTACTTGTACTAGCCCAGACTGAAGCTGGTTTTATAGTGCTAGCTCACTGAGATACCATGCCGCAGTGAAGCATGAATACCCCACTCAGACACATTACACTGACTCCGAGCCGACCAGTCCTTGTTGTACCCATTAATGCCGAGCGCCAGGCAAGTAAGTGAGTGAGTGAGGTGGGCGGGCGGGCGGGCGGGCGAGCGAGCGTGCGTGCGTGCGTGCGTGCGTGCATGCGCTCGTGGAACTGTTATATTCTATATAATGATCCACGGTTATAACGAACCGAAACCAGAGGTCCCTTTACAAATTACGTATATTACAAGTGTTTATAACTAAGGAATAATGTAAGCATATATTCCCTAACTGTATGTACTTTTTGAAGCCTAGATTTACAATTTTTAAACTTATCCTATCTCACGACTTGCACCTCTCTCTCTTCATTCGACCGACCCGTGAAGATCCGGGGTAGAATAGGTCTTCAGCAACCCATGTGCTTGCCATAAAAAGGCGACTATCTTGTCGTAAGAGGCGACTAACGGGATCGGGTGGTCAGTTTCGCTGACTTGGTTGACACATGTCATCGGTTCCCAATTGCGCAGATCGATGCTCATGCTTATGATCACTGGATTGTCTGGTCCAGACTCGATTATTTACAGACCGCCGCCATATAGCTGGAATATTGCTGAGTGCGGCGTAAAACTAAACTCACTCACTCACTCACTCACTCTTCGTTCAGCCATGAGTGGAAACGAATTAAAACTTTGCTCCAGGCCTACCTTGTCCCTGTCCCCGTGCTGTGCCTGCCTTCCTGCCTCAGCCATTCTCACTAGTCCGTGACAGCACGAGGCATGCGCAGTCCTCACCCACGTGATCACCTCACATACTCATTCTCTTTCTTGTCGCTCCACAGAGTGGACGTGAAAAAGTTTTCATCTGAGAATTGCTCAAAATGGATAAGCCTGTTCAGGCCAGTAAACGAAAGTTTTGCGCCCGTTGTAATAAAGTCTTTTCAGCTTGGGACCCCACACACGTCGTGTGTTGATTGTGTGGGTTGTTGTGATTGGGACACACGTTGTCCTAAGTGTTCAGGACTGTCTAATGAGGCTTTTAAATCTTACAAACGTGTTTGTGCCAGACGTTTGGCAGATAGGGCCAGGAATGCTTCTGCGGGGTTTGGTCCATCTCCCGCTGAGAAACAATGTTTAGATCGCCCCACCCTCCCTGCTCACCGTTCTAAATCGCCCGTCTCTCTTGACGAGGATTTTATGGACGCGTCGTCGGATTCCTATTTGTCTGAGAACGTTAAAAGGCTTTTTGGGGCGCTTCCCTCACCTAGTTTAAATTCTCATGGGCATGCCAGGGTGGTAATGACTGATATTTCCTCTACGCAAGACCTGCGATCTACCTTATCTCGTAGATCCGTTTCTTCGGAACGTTCACAGACTTCGAGAACTTCTAAGTCCAAGCATTCATCATCGAAAAGCGGGGATCGGCGCAGTTGGAACGTAACCGTTCTCCTATTCCTACGGTTTCATCCCATCGAAACAATTCACCCACACGAGTTGAGTCACCATCTGGTGCGAAGGTTCGAATACGTTCTTCTACTGCTGGGAGGAGTCGTTCTAGATCTCATTCACGCTCGAGCTCTTGTCGTCGTTCCAATGTACCAGTCCCAACAGATTCACCACCCGGATTCGTTTCACCACCTAGCCGTGCAGCCAAAGGTAGAACGAGTTCACTCAGCCGAACAGGCTCACCTGACCTGACTGATTCACGTAATCGAATGGGTTCACCAGGACAATCCGGTTCACATTCCCGAGCCTGCTCACTCTGCCGAGCCAGTTCACCCTGCCAAGCCGGCTCACCAGACCGTAATCGAATGGGCTCACCAGACCGTAATCGAATGGGTTCACCTGACCGAACTGATTCACGTAATCGAATGGGTTCACCTAACCGAACTGATTCACGTAATCGAATGGGTTCACCTGACCGAACTGATTCACGTACTCGAATGGGTTCACCTGACCAAACTGATTCACGTACTCGCATGGGTTCACCTGACCGAACTGTTTCACGTACTCGAATGGGTTCACCTGACCGAACAGATTCACATAATCGAATGGGTTCACCTGACCGAACTGATTCAGGTAATCGAATGGGTTCACCATGCTGAACCGGTTCACAATCCCAACTCAATTCACCTCAACATGTGTTTCAGTTCGACTCACCATCTCATAGTGGACTCAATTCACCACAGCGTTTTGATTCCCGTAGTCGTTCAGTCTCACCTAGTCAAAGTGGTTCGCCTTTTCGATCCGGTTCACCTAGCCGTATGGTGTCTTTTCGTCAGAGGGATTCTAGAAGTCAGTCTCATTCACCTCAGGTGAATCAGAATATCCCGTCTAGTCAGTCTAGGGCTAGTGAGCACTTGCGGTCAGTGCCTTTACATGATAGTACCCCTCATCAACGTCGTTCTGTGCTGGTGGTTTCACCTGCTAGGCAGCGTTATGCTTCAGTGGATCAGCGTTCACCTTCACGCCATACCACTTCTACGATACCACTTCTACATGTTCGACAATCGTCTGCCATACCTAGCAATAATCGTTCTGTGGATTCGAAGGATCGGACTCGGTCTCAGACTCCTTTACCTTCACCTGGGCAGTCGGACATCTCCACTCCTGATGGCAGTTTTGATGTTGTTGAACCGGCTCACGTGGTAGCCTGGATAGTTGAAAATCTTCAGCTACCTCTAAGTAAATCTCCAGATGATTTGGCCACGTCTTATGCCGTGACTAATAGAGATATTTCCAGTATCACACTTCCTTTGCGTCCATGTCTTCAACAATTATCTTCTTCTCTTGATGTGGCTTTCAACAAGCTTAGAAGGAGGAAGGATGGTTTGTCTGCTCCTAGGTTCCGACCATCGACGGCACATACTCATGGTGTTCAACTTTGGTCAGCGGTACTTTCAGTTGATGATGACATTTCCATGGTCTGTGGCAAGTGTTCCAGTTCGCCATTTTTTGTGGAAGACAGGGAATTGGCTCACTTGGATACTATGCTTTGGCATTCTATCCCTTCCATTTGTTGCATCATTTCGGCTGTTGACGCTGTGGCGGCGGCTGTCAATCATCCCTATACGGACCAGGACGCGTACATTAGGGCAAGTATGGCTCTGATTTTAGACCAATTCCAGGTGGTCTTGGGGCAACTGTCTCATTTCTTTGGCAATCTACTTGACATACGACGTCGGGGCCCTTTGAAGTTATCCTCATGGGAAGATAGATTCAAGGCTGAATTGTTTCGTCAACCATGGTCGGGGGATACTGTCTTCAGTGGGTTTATTGCAGAAGTCGCATCCAAGGTGGACCGTCTTAACCAATTTCAAGTATCTGTAGCTTTGTTGGAGTTGCAAAAAATTCAACTTCAAGACTCTATGCGGCATCGTCAAACCCCACACTTTACCCCTTCCAACCCAGACCTTCGTGACTGTATGAAAGGCAAGGCGCCTTCTCAAGCACGAGGCAGGGGCAGGAAGGCTTTTCATGGTTCCGCATCGCGTTGCCTCTTTCGACCCGACGCTGGAACTGGAAATAAATATTCCAAACAGTGACACACGGAAATCAGAGCTCGGATTGGTTCTGCCGGTTCCTGCGGTTCTGGTGTTCGATTCCCCTGTAGGCGGGAGGTTAGGTCTGTTTGCTCCCAACTGGGAGTTTCTAGGAGATCCATTTGTCACAATGACTCTCATTCACTGCTATCGAATGCCTGTTGTCGGGGAACCACCCCTCACCATTCAACCTTTGCAGCGAATGTATCCTCAGGATCAAGCTGCAGTTCTTTCGCCCACAATCTCAACTCTACTGGAGAAACTTGCGGTAGAATGCCTCGATCCGGTGTGCATAACTCCAGGGTTTTACTCCCCGATTTTTTCTTGTGCCAAAGAAAAACTCCAGCAAGTTGCGTCTCATCTTCAATATGAAGACATTCAACTCTCGTTTCCTTCAACAGCCGCCTCACTTTCGAATGGTATCAGTCAGTCTTCCACACTCAATTCTGAAGAAAGGGGATTTCATCATATCCCTCGATCTTCAAGACGCATACCTTCACATTCCGATTCACCCAGATCATCGGAAGTATCTGAGGTTCACCTTCAAGGGCCATCACTTCCAATGGAAAGTCCTTCGATTTGGAATCTCTATGGCCCCGTGGCTTCTTACTCGGGTGACCAAATCCATCAGCAGTTTACTTCACTCTCGGGGAGTGACCTCCGAAAGCTATATCGACAATGATATCCAGGCACAACAGGATCCAATCGTTCTTGAAATCCATCGGGAGTTCACCATCAAGCCGCTCAAACAGTTAGGGTGGCTCCTCAATTACGAGAAGTCGGAGTTAACACCGACTCGCAGACTTCAGTTCATAGGAGCAGTCTTCGATACAGAACAAGCCATGTTGTTTGTTCCCCAGGACAGGTGGACCAAAATTCAGCGTCTGGTTCCGCTAGCCTTGGATCACCCCAGAACTCTACGCCAGTGGCAGGAGTTGCTGGGCGTCTTAACGTCAGCTCAGGCTCTGACTTACAGAGGTCAGCTGCAGCTTCGCCCGCTTCAGTTATTTCTGCGACCTCATCTTCAAACCAACAACCCTCAGGAGTTGATTCGGTTACCCAGGGAACTACGTCCAATTCTGCGTTGGTGGCTCAACGTACAGAATGTTTGCGCCAGCGTCTCTTTGGTGCCCTTCAGTCCAACCCATCAGTTGTCTGTGGATGCTTCTCTCGAAGGTTGGGGCGCCCACTTCCTTCAGCATCAAGTTGCAGGGCAGTGGTAGTCCGAAGACAAGTCACTCCACATAAACATTCTGGAGTTCAAGGCAGTATTACTGGCAATTCAGCACTGGGCGGCTCTACTCAAGATGTCTCACCTGCTGATACAGTCCGACAACTCAACGGTAGTGTGGTACATCAATCACCTAGCGTCGACGGGTTCAGCAGCACTTCTACAGTGGACGTTTCGATTCTATCTTCTGATAGATTCTCTCAACATCGTAGCAAGAGCCAGGCAAATCCCCGGAACAAAGAACGTGATTGCCAACGCTCTGTCTCGTTCCAGTCGCCCGTCGCCCACAGAGTGGCAACTCCTGCCCAAGATTTTTCGGACGATAATTTACCCGCTCTCTCGACTGAGTGTCGACCTTGTCCAGCAGTTGTCAGCGGTCCAACATCGCAGATAATGAACTTCCTTGTGCTACGATGCTATATGGATCCCATTTGTGCAGTTGATCCCAAGTCGCGATCGTTTCTGCTTGTGTACAATCTGAATAAATCTGAAACTTATTTCTGATTTGCGTCTTTGTTTCTTGCGGGATTTAGATTTCTCCTCTCATTTGTTTTGAGACTCTGGAGAGTCGCCACCTCACTTACTGTCCTCTGCTCCGTGGAGTAATTAAGTCAGTGAAGTACCTATACACATCTATGTGATCTTACTGTGGTAAGTAGTGGAAGTCATAAGATGATGTTGTGGTACTGAACGTTAAAATTGTGAGTTTTCAATTACCCTTTCACCCTCCTCGGGACGGTGTCTGTGGGGGTTGTTTCAAAGCAGGGGCTGGCCCGATACTAGTCGTTAGACTTTTATTACGGGGGTACCTTGGAAATCGTGGCGATGCGACTGATTACACTCGCTAAGCTGCGTCCTTTCACTTTGTGAAGGTAGTGACTGAACACCAAATTGCTTGGGAATCCCGGTCCCTGGGAGCACTTGTGCTTAGTAAGTCAATGGGTTCGAACTAACCCTCACACGAAGTAACTTTGGTAGTTATTGGCCTGCCTTGTAGTTGCTTCCTACGGTTGTTTTAGCATAACGCCTAGCTGTTATCACTTGAACTTCGGGTAATCTATGACCCACCTTCCTACCGTGGGATAAGTGCAAGTCGTGAGGCAGGATAAGTTTAAAAATTTGTAAATTTTAACTATAAATTGTATATTTATATACTTATCCTATCTCACGCGATAAAGTCCCACCCTACCTCCCCACTACCTAGATTACCACCGTTCCGGTTTTGTCCTTTTATGGCTCCAAGATCGAGAATGAGTATGTGAGGTGATCACGTGGGTGAGGACTGCGCATATCTCGTGCTGTAACGGACTAGTGAGCATGGCTGAGGCAGGAAGGCAGGCACAGCACGGGGACAGGGACAAGGTAGGCCAAAGTTTTAATTCGTTTCCACTCATGGTCGAATGAAGAGAGAGAGGTGCAAGTTGTGAGATAGGATAAGTATATAAATATACAATTTATAGTTAAAATTTACAATTTTCATAATCTGTATCAAACTAGTGTCTACCACTGAGGGGATACCCCATCGAGAGTGTACGTCTGTGTGTGTGTGTGTGTGTGTGTGTGTGTGTGTGTGTGTGTGTGTGTGTGTGTGTGTGTGTGTGTGTGTGTGTGTGTGTGTGCGCGCGCGTGTGTGTGTGCTCACCCTTATATAAAAATTTATATTTGCATTTACAAGGTTGTGCCCTGGCTTTAGGGAGAGAAATAATGGCTTTATGATTCACTTTGAATCGAAATTACAGGGTTTTGAAGCATTAAGCTTATCTGCCCTCATACATAGTGGTGAATCTACCTCCTTTTTTTGTCGAATTACCCAAATGTTGTGAGAGTATTTTGTCAATCGATTTTTTTTTAAACTCGTATAATGCTTGACATCTTATTGTTCATATAACGTTAGCATCTAGTCTTTATAGAGGCTAGGCACGTTGTTTTTATAAAGCATTAGGATTTCGGAGTTCAAATAACGTTTCTCATCTTACTGTTCATATAAGCTAGGCATCTTGTTGTTCATAAAAGGCTAGTCATCTTGCTGTTCATAGAGGCTTGGCATCTTGGTATTTGATTAGGCATGACGTATTGGTTGGTCAAGAGTCAGAGAGTTGTTTCCTTTCATCTGAGTTGTTCAAATATGTTAATATGTGATTTGATATCGTTTTACTGCAAACAGCATTACATCATTTCGTTATTTTTGTGTTTAGTTATACATGTTAGACTCGACGGGTATTCTTTTGAATAGCTTAGTGAGTTTAGCTATACGCCGCACTCAGCAATATTCCAGCTATATGGCGGCGTTCTGTAAATAATCGAGTCTGGACCAGACAATCCAGTTGTTCTTCCTGGATGTAAGACCAGTGTGTCGTGAGGTAGATATGTTCCGTTGACTTCGTTGCTTTCAGAGGAATTTCAGGATTACCAGTACTTGTATATAGATCTTTACATATTTACTCTATAAGTCACATCCCTTAATCTTTTTTAATTTTTCATTACATTCCCTATTTGTTCAAAACAATTTCATTAACAGCAGATCTTAGTATTCACTAAGATTATTGTTTATGGTCATGCATACGATAGAGACAATTGTATTTCAGTTTTACGAAATATGTATTCGTAAGGTGTATATGTTTTGTGTTTGATCTTCAGTTACTTTTTAATATATACAAAAGAATATGTGTACATATAATTCACGACTGAGTCTTTGCAAGGACAGCAAGACAGCTTTACAAACTGGCTAGCCGTGCCCATGGAGACGGTGTACGTGTAACTGTTGTTCATAATGACGTTGTCATGTCGTCATCTCAAAATCAGGGATGTATAAACAAATCAAAAGTGAGCAGTATTATGCATGGACGTTTGTTATGTTATGTGTGTGTATGGATATATATACACGTGGGCGTTATTGAAGCATCTCGAAATTTTTCGAAATTTCGTATTGAAGAATAACTGGTGTGATTCATTCGTAGAAACCCGACCTGAGAGTAGTGAGCTGACCAACATAAAGTCTAGCACTACTATCACACACGATGTGAAGCTGACACTAGCAGTAAGTGCCGAGGTATTTGCCTTGTGGTCATTTCAACAACGCTGAAAATCACTCAGCTATCACCTCCAAGTAGATTGTTTACATGCAGTGTAAAGCCTGGGAGCCGTGGTAAAAGGCAATCTCAGAGGTACAATCGGCATAAGTCTATGTTGTTATGTGAGTTACGATCCCTTTGGCGCTGACATTGTCGTAAGTCTACATTAAGGTGTGGGAGTTCAAGCACCTTAGTACTAAGACTGTCGTAAGTCTATGTAAGGGATAAAAGTTACGATCGCCTTAGCGCTGAGATTGTCGTACGTCTATGTTAAGGCGTAGGAGTTACGATCACCGTAGCATTGAGATTGTCGTAAGTCTATGTTAAGGTATGGGAGTTATCATCACATTAGAGCTAAGACTGTCGAAAGTCTATGTTCCGGTATGGAAGTTACGATAGCCTTTGCGCTGAAATTGTCGTTAGTCTATGTTAAGGTGTGGGAGTTCCGATTATCTTATATTTGACTGTTGTAAGTCTGTTAAGGTATGGGAGTTACGATCACCTTAGCTCTAAGACTGTCGTACGTCAATGTTAAGGTGTGGGAGTTACGATCACCTTAGAGCTTAGATTGTCGTAAGTCTATGTTAACGTATGGGACCTTGAAAATTATGTGAAGGTCACCAAAATCGACTGGGCCCTCCGCCTTCCCTAGTAGAAGTTTGGTGTCAAATATGAAGACAGACCAGTGAATGGTTCTTTAGATATCTTGCTGACAATCTTTACATGCAGTTTAACATGCTGAAATCTTCAGGGAGTCGCCGTGACCTTGAAAATTATGTCAAGGTCCCTAAAATCGATTGGGCCCTCCGCCTTCCCTGGATAAAGCGTGCGGATGAATATGAAGGAAATCCAGAGACCGGTTCTTGAGATATCTTGCTGACAAAAGTTAAACGTTAAAGTCCCCTTGTGACCTTGAAATGAAGGTCAAGGTCACCAATCCTTACTGGGGCCTTTCTTATACTGTGATGAACCTTGGTACCAAATATGAAAAGAATCTAGTCAACGGTTCTTAACATATTCCAATTCGTACGGACGGTCGGACGGACGGAGAACCCTCAGGAGTCCTCAGGAGTCAAGCTGCGAAACACGGTCAACCATCTAAGGACTGTCCGAGCTCGGCGTTGCTTAATTTGCGTAACTGATTCATGACCTGACCTCTACGCACAGGACCACACACCGCCATGATACCATGTTGCGGTCCAAGTGGCGACCTCGGGAGCTCGACCGACTCGACCTCGCAAACTACTCGACCTGTCTCAACCTGGGGTGTATCTCGACCTCACAACGACCTCACAAAGACCTCTTAAGGAGCTTTATGACCTTAGTTCGATTTTAGTTCGACTTTAGTCGACCTATCTCGACACAGGTCGGCCAAGTTGAAAAGACCTATACTCGACCAGCTAGACCTGTATATCGACCTAATTCCGAATTTATTTTGTCCTAAGTCGACCGGCCCGACCTCTACGGTGCATTTTCACCAGGTATCCATTTAATTAGAGGACTGCAAAGTAGTAACATCACCATCAGGAACCTTGACGTAAACCTGGTGAGCCCTGAGAAGCGAAGACTGCTCACCATTTGGGTGCAGATAGCCTGGCACCTGCTTGAACTGGTGGATGACCTGGAGAATGCCAACCCTCCTCCAAAGCCAAAGCCTCAGCCGTAAACACATCAATCCCATCCTTGATGCCTTCAAAGCTGAGTATCGGTCAGATGAGTGGGATCAGAGCAGATGGAATACTGTAGCCCATGCTTTCAAGGAAAGGTTGCAATTTCCATATTGCACCGGTGCGTTTGATGGCAAGCACATACGCATCAAGAAGCCTCCCAAAAGCGGGTCCCTCTTCTACTAGTACGAGAACCTCTTCTCTATTGTCTTGCTGGCACTCGCGGATGCCGACTACAAGTTCCCGTGGGTCATTTTCGGGGCCAAGGGATCAGCATCAGACCCTTTTGGTCTTCAACCATTCACGAGATCGGATGGAGGGCGATGACTTTGTATTCCCCGTATGTTGTACCATACTTCATCATCGGCGACGATGCCTTTCCACTCTGCCCCTGGATGATGAAGTCGTTTTCCATGCGTCAGATGGACCCCGATCAGCAGATCTTCAACTGCAGGTAATTATTCTTTTCCATAAATACCTAAATCAAATTATAACTTACTATCTTTGGGTGTATGCAATATTATGTCAAAGGTTTTGAATTGTGAATGCATTTGACTTTAAAATGTTAAATTTGTGACTTTTGCAGACTGTCTCGGGCCAGACGAGTGGTGGAGAATACCTTCGGGATTCTTGCTATGAGGTTCCAGATCCTCCTGTTTGTTTTTTTCTTTACGGTAAATGCGAAAAAAGAACACAATGAAAACTAACTATATACATGATGAACAAAACAAACTTTATTGCAATCATACAAGATGTATTTACATTTACACTTAGCAATGGATGGAAACTACAAAAAAATACCAGATGAAAAAAAGCTTTTAAATCTTTTACTGGAAACTCATTTAAATAGTCTGAAGGTAACATTTCACATCATTATAAAGTGCTTATGACAATATATGAGTATCAAGTTCTACTTCTCAGTTTCACTGTCCTTGCCGAGAGTCCTGAACATGTGACTGATCCTCTGAGATGTATGTAGGGTCCAAGAGACCGCTGGCAGGTACAGAGATATACCTGCTGCAGCACTGGACTCAAAGCTGGAGAAGATACCAGCCTGTTCCGCTGCTTTGCGACGTGTTGGAGAGGGTGGTGTGCTCAGGGTGGACCTCTGGGTGGCAGCAGGTTGGCGTTGAGATGATGTGCTACCACTGGCTGCCGTTTGGCTTTTATAAAGCAATTAGGAAGATGGCGACCATTTATGAGGTCAGCGCGGACTCGATTAGGTCGAGTTGAGGTCGAGATAGGTTGACTTCAGGTCGAGTTGGTCGACTCCAGGTTAAGTCCAAAGTTGAGTCCAGTTCCAGCTGGTTGCCTCAAGGACGATTCGAGGCCGAGTACAGATCGACTCTAAGACGAACACAAATCGGCATGTCAGGCCAGCTCGCCCTTCAGCTCGACCAGCTCGACCGAATGTCGACCTAACCTCGACCTTTCAAAAAAATTTCAAAAACTTGGTAGACCTGATTCGATCTGACTCGACCTGACTTGACGTGACTCGTTCTGAAAGTCGACTCCAAACTCGACCTTAAGGTCGAGAAGGTCGAGTAGCGTAAGGTCGGGACTTGGAACAACACTCTTGGTCCTAAGACAGCTTTGTAGGAACCAGGCTGGATTTCAGAAAGCACATTCGTGTAGTAATTAATTCAGAGAAACAAAGAAATCGCATGGTTATCCCTTGCAAGACCCTTTTGAGTACGTCAGCCAATATTCCGCAAAAACTGGATAATTACCATGTCAGCAGAGTAGTATGGAAAATAATGATCGGATTGTGACCATTTATAGCTCTTTTGTAGGGAAATCATCTCGCTTTCGATCCGTAGGCCTCGACAGGGCCTTAAAAATAGTTTACGTGGTGAACTCTAACTTTGATTGAGGAGGGGGTGGTTCCGTCGTTACATCCCTTTCCTATTATATAGTACTAGGATAGGGTCTATGTACCTATATGTCTTTCTAACGCTGTTTCTAACCGTGACACGCCCCTGTGCTCTGCCTGGCCCTGAGCGAGCCGCTGTAGTGCCTCCTCCACCCCGCGGGCCTCGCCCATGGGAAGTTTCCCTTCAGCTCGGTGCCAGCGCCATTTTGGCCGTGGCCGTTTTGGTCAAACAAAAACTGGGATAACAAGTTCAGTCACCTCAGAATCCCGGTATAGACGTCCCCAACCTCGAACGTCACTCCAATAGCAGCACTTGTCAACCTCCGTTTCTCGAAAGGACATGAAACTTGCAAAAAGAGCGCAAATTAACTTGGCTTGTGAACAAACTAATTAGACCAACTCAATTAACAACTCAAGCGTACTGATGACACAGCGCATGCGCACATCCCACGGAATTCCGAAAGTACGGAATAGGGAAGTGGAATTCAGCTTGACGGGCTATTTGGAGACAGAGACAAGTACAGACACCGGATCTCTCATGATACTGTAAAGTCCACACACGTTCTGTATAATTTGATTCCTGTTTATCCTTATTTAAGACAACCCCTGCAAAAGTGTCAAAAGAATGTAACCACTGTACTCGACATTGCTATGACTATGATTGCCATATTATCTTGCATTGTGATTCTGTTGTATCTGACCGTAGTTTTTTTCCTGCCTGATGGATAAACTTCATGTTGATATATATGAAAGCAGATATGCTTGACGACGATGATATGCTGTCATTGTTTCTCGGCGCAGCTATACATGATTTAACTGAACAAATTGATTGTGATACAGAACAGAACCGTTCACAGAATATTGCCAATCAGACATTTCCTCTACAAAATTAACTAACAGTACCTTTTGCAACGATTATGACGAAACAATTTATCATATGATATGGGAGTGTGACAGGGTGGAAAGCATATGGCGTGAAATGAAAATATGGCACAGGGCTCAATTAGCGCTACAATGATTGTAACTCCCATTCTCCAACATAGGCTTAAGATAGTCGTAGCGCTAAGATCGCTTGAAGCAAGTTGGCCCTGAACTGTATACGTAGAACTGAATTTTACAAATTCCCAGGTAATGTTCGGGATTAAAAGAAAGAATAACTATGCATTAAATGCGAAGATTATTAAAGTCAAGAATATCATATACAACTTTAGTAAGAAAGGTTTCATTCCAAATATTTCATACATCAAAAGACAAGTCATACAATATGTATACATTAATCTTGACCAGGAACCCTACTTCCTAAAACTTTGGTCCAGTTTACACATGCTACTTAGAACCGTTGAGAACGTAAATTATTTCTGTGTAACAATGTCATTGACTCTGTACATTTATACTGAAGTATTATCGGCCTTACATGTATGTATTGAACTGTATACTTTTACATATGTCAACCTGTATGTATACCTGAAAGAAAAGCGAAAAAAAATTTGATTGTGATCCATGCGAATACATAATACTGACATTTTGTCACTTCGTATGGAATCTAAAGAAAAATCTTATGTACACTTACTAAACAAAATCTCCCTACTGCGCAAACAATGTACATTGTAAAGTATTTATTAGAGTAGTGCAGCATATCACATGCTTTCATTTTTGATACTGAAGTAATGCAAGTGATGTATTGTAAATAATGCATTTGCCTTTGTATGATCCATCCATCCATCCATCCAGACCTACCCACCTTCCCATCCATTCATCCAGACCTTCCAATCCATCCATCCATCCATCCAGACCTACCCACCTTCTCATCCATCCAACCAGACCTACCCATCTATCCATCCAGACCTACCCATCCATCCATCCAGACCTACCCACCTTCCATCCATCCATCCAGACCTACCCATCCATCCATCCATCCATCAAACCTACCCACCTTCCCATCCATTCAGACCTACCCACCTTCCCATCCATCCATCCAGACCTACCCATCCATCCATCCAGACCTACCCATCCATCCATCCAGACCTACCCATCCATCCATCCATCCAGACCTACCCATCCATCCGTCAATCCAGACCTACCCCACCTTCCCATCCATCCATCCAGACCCATCCATCCATCCGTCAATCCAGACCTACCCACCTTCGCATCCATCCATCCAGACCTACCCATCCATCCATCCATCCATCCAGACCTACACACCTTCCCATCCATCCATCCAGACCTACCCATCCATCCATCCATCCAGACCTACCCACCATCCCATCCATCCATCCAGACCTACCCATCCATCCATCCGTCAATCCAGACCTACCCATCTTCCCATCCATCCATCAGACCTACCCATCCATCCATCCAAACCTACCCATCCATCCATCCATCCAGACCTACCCACCTTCCAATCCATCCAGACAAACCTACCCATCCATCCATCCATCAAACCTACCCACCTTCCCATCCATTCAGACCTACCCACCTTCCCATCCATCCATCCAGACCTACCCATCCATCCATCCAGACCTACCCATCCATCCATCCAGACCTACCCATCCATCCATCCAGACCTACCCATCCATCCATCCATCCAGACCTACCCATCCATCCGTCAATCCAGACCTACCCCACCTTCCCATCCATCCATCCAGACCCATCCATACATCCGTCAATCCAGACCTACCCACCTTCGCATCCATCCATCCAGACCTACCCATCCATCCATCCATCCATCCAGACCTACACACCTTCCCATCCATCCATCCAGACCTACCCATCCATCCATCCATCCATCCATCCAGACCTACCCACCATCCCATCCATCCATCCAGACCTACCCATCCATCCATCCGTCAATCCAGACCTACCCACCTTCCCATCCATCCATCCAGACCTACCCATCCATCCATCCAAACCTACCCATCCATCCATCCAGACCTACCCACCTTCCAATCCATCCAGACAAACCTACCCATCCATCCATCCGTCAATCCAAACCTACCCACCTTCCCATCCATCCATTTAGACCTACCCATCCATCCATCCAAACCTACCCATCCATCCATCCGTCCATCCAGACCTACCCACCTTCCCATCCATCCATCCAGACCTACCCATCCATCCATCCAGACCTACCCATCCACCCGTCAATCCAGACCTACCCACCTTCCCATCCATCCATCCAGACCCATGCATCCATCCGTCCATCCAGACCTACCCATCCATCCATCCATCCATCCAGACCTACCCACCTTCCCATCCATCCATCCAGATAAACCCATCCATCCATCCATCCATCCAGACCTACCCACCTTCCCATCCATCCATCCAGACCTACCCATCCATCCATCCAGACCTACCCATCCATCCATCCAGACCTACTCACCTTCCCATCCATCCAGACAAACCTACCCATCCATCCATCCGTCAATCCAAACCTACCCACCTCCCCATCCATCCATCCAGACCTACCCATCCATCCATCCAGACCTACCCATCCATCCGTCAATCCAGATCTACCCACCTTCCCATCCATCCATCCAGACCCATCCATCCATCCGTCAATCCAGACTTACCCACCTTCCCATCCATCCATCCAGACCTACCCATCCATCCATCCATCCATCCATCCAGACCTACCCACCTTCCCATCCATCCATCCAGACCTACCCATCCATCCATCCGTCAATCCAGACCTACCCACCTTCCCATCCATCCATCCAGACCTACCCATCCATCCATCCAAACCTACCCATCCATCCATCCAGACCTACCCACCTTCCCATCCATCCAGACAAACCTACCCATCCATCCATCCGTCAGTCCAAACCTACCCACCTTCCCATCCATCCATCCAGACCTAGCCATCCATCCATCCAAACCTACCCATCCATCCATCCGTCCACCCAGACCTTCCCACCTTCCCATCCATCCATCCAGACCTACCCATCCATCCATCCATCCGTCCATCCAGACCTACCCATCCATCCATCCATCCACCCTGACCTGCCCACCTACCCACCTACCAATCCATCAATCCATCACGTGGTATACTTTAGTTTATCTGACAGAACCAGGGTCATTCTACCACCCGTCTAGGTGAAGTCAGGGCCGAAGTGGTGTGTTGAGCAAAAGGAACACTGTTCCTGGTTCCTTTGCAGTCAACCACCCGCCATCCACCGATAAAAAGAGTCTTTCGACCAGCAATGGGGTGCTGAGGACCAATTCTGAACTGGGTCCACACGGAGAAAAAGCGATTTGAGTTACCACTTACATGAGAAGGATGCTCCTTATGAGTGCGAACCATTGTAGAAGTTTGCTTAACATGAATGTCATTAGTAGACCTCAAGCAGTGTTGCTGCGGAGGAAGTGAAAATATGTTTTTGTAGGCACTGTGAATTTACCTTTAAATACTCATTTCTTAATTTGCGAAATTGACTTCAGCGTAAGCAAGTCATGTCAGAGATGTAGACAGAATATCTATATGTTAGAAAGGTATCCGTTGTGGTATATGACCTCCCACAATTGCAGCATTAGCATTTAAAAGTAATTTATATGTGCCTCACTGGAAGGTGTGGTGGAGGTGATAATCATTACTAAACTGTTATTCTTTGAAGACCATGCCGATAAACATATGTTACGTAGATGATATGTTGATGGCGCGATACAGAGACTAATTTCATGACTTCATTGTACGTCGAACTTGCTCATTATCAACACACGCAACACTGCAATTCATGGTCAACTAAGGCATTCTTCTATCAGTGTTGTTATATAATTACATGTTTCGTATATACATTTAGGCTGCATTTAACGCGCAAACGAAAATAGCCAAGCCTCTGAGTCTGACCACCTAATTCAATACCATTACCTCTCAGCACAGGCGATAACAGGGATAGGCGAGGTTGAATGTGAGTGAGGGAGGGAGGCTCACACATTGTATCAATATAGGCCTTCGCGGAGGACATGTCCACAAAAAGTAAATATTATTCATAGATCAATGTCGCACCACAACGTAAGGTTCACCGGAAGGTTTTTATAGGGAAATATTACCTAGTGAAACTACATTTTGTGACGTATTACAAACAACTCAGAAACTGCATCAGTTTTACTCACCACACTGGAGACTATGTTTGTGTTTTTCATTGTGACCGTAGGACTATATGAGTTTGGTTTGTATCGGGTTTGGTTTGTCTTTAAAAACTCTAATTTATATTGAATCTGTGGATAAGCTGCTGTTCGTTTTAATCTTTCGCACTATTCAGTATTTGTATCAACTTCTATGACGTATCGAACGAATATAATTACTTTTGTGTATCCAGGTCTTGCCCCTATGACAACTGGATACCCACACACTGTTACACGTGTCGGCGACGATGTTAACATAACCATGAACCCAGCGATTGTCAGCTTCCCATATACCGTATGGGTGAATGGTTCGGTAGCTGTGAGACTGTTAGTGGTCATTCCTACGTTACACAGTGTAGTGGTACTCAACACCAGTCACACCGGTTACACGACCAGGATGAGATACACCGGGGAGGACTCACTATCGCAAACAGGACAGCTGAGGTTTACCATCGACAATGTTACTGTACAGGACGCTGGTACTTACTACTGTCAAGGGCAGAATAGACAGACAGTTACTGGATGTAGACAGGTCCTCGTTGTACCACGTGAGTACTGACTGGGGTTAAGAGAACAATATCATGTAAATATATGAATGCACCTAAACTAACATGTAATTCATCAAATATACTGAACCGCAAAAGAAACGCAAGTTTATTTAGAAATGTGAATATTTCTGAATCTGTGGAACAAACAATCTTAACACTACGAAAAAACAACAGACAAGTGATTGTTGAAGAAATGAGTCATGGTCTCTGGTGAAAACAACACTCAAGTTTACTGTAAAAGCATATGTTATCACTCCACCCTCACACACCAAAAATGTCACGAAACAGTGTGTCAATCAGTAGCACGTGTGACCACCATTGGCTGCAATGCAGGCAGCACAAGGACGTCTCATCGAGGCAACAAGTGTCTGAAAGAAGGCTTGGGGAATTTGATTCCATTCCCTGGCCAATCTGGCTTCCAAATCTCTAAGGTTTTGAGGTTGAGCAGCTGTCTGTATCCGTCTACCAATTTCATCCCACACATGCTCGATTGGTGCCATATCCGAGGACAGAGTGGGCCAGGGCAGTACAGCAATGTTGTTCCCTCTGGGGAAGTCCATAGAGACCCGTGCAGTGTGATGACGAGCATTGTCCTGCTGGAACGTCTGGAGCTGAGGTTGGGCCTGGAAGAGCGGTACAACGTGGTGTTGAAAGACCTGGTCTCTGTAGACTAGAGCAGCCACACGTTGACGAAACTCGTGTAAACATGTTCTGTGGTGGTAGCTGAAGCCACCCCATACCATGAGTCTTCCACCTCCCCAGAGGTCAGCTTCCACAACACAACAGTTGGCGTAACGCTCATTACGTCGTGTCCATACACGTTATCGGCCGTCGGCGTGGGACAAGTTGAATCTGGACTCATCAGAAAACAACACTTGTTGCCATTGTTGACGTCGCCAACGGTGGTGTTGTCGCCCCCACTGTAAACGATTTTGGCGGTGACGTTGCGTCAGAATCGGTCCGACGTAAGGACGGCGACATGTCATCCCTGCTGCCCTCAGACGACGACGAACAGTGTGTGCAGAGATGGGACGTTGTGGCCCTTGAATGGTTGCAGCTGTCTGTGTTGCTAGTTGCTGTCGGTTATGCGGATGAGTAACCCGGATGTGACGATCTTGCGCTGGCGTTGTTACCCTGGGACGTCCTGAACGTGGTCGGTCTGGAACATTACCGGTTTGACGATACCATGCGGATAGTCTTGTGATTGTTGTCACGTGACATCTGAAGTGCCTGGCCACTTTAGTTGGTGTGGATCCGGTCTGCAACATTCCAACGGCGATTCATCGTTGCTGTTCAGTTAGACGTGGCATGTTTTCTCCGCGTTGTCTCAGTCAATTTTGTGTTCTATGGTGTTTTTTGAATGACCTGCCTTATAAAGCTTCAAACTGGAGTGAAATGCTCGCATTTTTGTGTGAAACACAAAAACTTCATGCAAAAAAACACGAAAAACATGAAAATGATTGCGTTTTGGCGATATGGTCAAGAATCAGCGGCAACAAAGGCAAAACCATCTTCGAATGCTTAGTTCTATAATGGTATACTTTGTTGTCCTAAAAGGAATGCATTTGGAACGTATGTTTTGAAAATAGTAACTTGCGTTTCTTTTGCGGTTCAGTATATATCCTTTCAAAGCCGATTAGTACATGGGGTATAACGTTGTGATAACGCTGTGTGTGTGAGCGTGTGTGTGTGTGAGAGAGAGAGAGCGAGTTGGGAGGGAAGGATAGAGAGAGAATGAGGGTGAGGTGAGGTGAAATTGGGTTTTACGTCGTGCTTGAGAATATTTCGCTCATATGACGACGCGCATGTGTGTGTATGTGCATGTGCAGATGCTTGTGCTAGCCCAGACTTAAGCTGGTTTTTTATAGTCCTAGCCCACTGAGATACCATGCCGCAGTGAAGCATGAATACCCCACTTAGACACATTATACTGGCTCCGAGCCGACCAGTCCTTGTTGTACCTGTTAATGCCGAGCGCCAGACAGGGACCAACAAGTACCATATTTTAACGTCTTTTGGTATGACGCGGTCGGGGATCGAACCCGCGACCTACCACTCTCCGGGCGAACGCTCTAACCACTATACCACGGAGGCGGTAGAATGAGGGAGAGAGAAGGGGAGAGGGAGATAGAGAGAGGGGGAGGGGGAGGGAGTGAGGAGATAGAGGGGAGGAGAGAGGGAAATGAGGAGATAGAGAGGGGCAGGGAGAGAGGGAAGTGAGGAGATAGAGGGGAGGAGAGAGAGGGGGAGAGGGAGATAGAGAGGGGGGAAGGGTAGAAGGAACGAGAATGAATGAGAAAGAATGTTTGTGTACTAGCCGCAAAAGCCACCATTTTACAGTTTAACATGGATCGCCATGAACCCCACAGTTTGTCACAGTTTAACCTGAGCGCCAGGCAGGGCAACAACAAGTAGCATCATGTAACGTCATTTGTTGTGACGCACCCGGCGATCAAACCTCCGATCTTCCTCTCTGCGGGCAAATACTCGGTTCACTAGACCAAGGAGGCAGTAGTTGTGCAGTTACTATAATATTTAATCAACAAAACGATTAGGGGTATTATTGTGGCCCCGGCCTTCAGCTTATTGACACTAACGATGAGTACTTCATTAATAAAAGTGTCGAAGATATTAGTGAAATCGTGTTCATAGACACCCACTGCTGTGTATTCACATGGTATAAGGTTGGTTGGGGTAGTCTAGTGGTGAAAGTCCCGGGTTCGATTCCCTACCGATTAGTAGTATTAGCCTGTCGCTGTCCTCTGTTTTATTGGTAATAATGATGAATACTTCATTGGTATAAGTGTGAAAACATTTAGTTTATTTAGTTTTTCATGGTCTCACTCGATTCAAATGTTAAAATATTTGTTCACAGAGGAGCCAACCACACCTACCATCACCGTACCTGCCTCACCTGTATCAGGTGAGAATGTCACCCTGACATGCTCCTCCTCGTCCCAGAGTCTACCCCCGGACCATCCTCCACTGACCATGACCTACATCTGGAGGAGGAACAGGACCCGGGTAGAATCTGGTGATGAATCTCCTACAGGTGGAGATGGCCTGACAATAACCCACATCAGCAGAGAGAACCAGGGAGACATCTACAGCTGCCAGACTGTGGAGGAGGGGCTGAAGTCTAACTGGAGTCACGGACATGTGCTGGATGTTCTCTGTGAGTAAGAACTTAGGCCTCATATATTTTATCTTTGCAACTTTGGGACTCAGCGACAGTTTTTCACAGCTGCGTTTACTGAAATATTATCCATTGTCTGTATGGAACCCTTATGTCATGAATCATTAAAATAATACACTGGCGGTTTGGATCGGAACATTTTCCCTCTACAAAGGTGGGGAACACATTAGTAATAGATTCTAGCAATTTTAAAACTCAACATGATAATAAGTCATGGGAACGTTGTTTTTAGAGCTGAACTGGTTGAAATAGCATTAGTATCCCTCTGATGATTTCATATAATGATAGCTTCCTGGGTTATAAATGGCACTTGTTGATATTCCAGGTGGAAATGCTGTATATTTTGAGTATCACATGGTGGCTCAGGTGCTTTGATACCTTGTCTTTCTACAGAGGATTGTAGTGACACGTTAAAACTAGAGTAAACATTCTCTCACTGACTTTTCATTTACCTTCTGATGTTTCTAGGTTATCCATTATACACCTCCCCAGACACGATCACAATACGACCTTGAACCGTCAGTGAACATGTGACGCCAATGACACATACCGGACGCCATGACCTTTGTTTGACGCTTGCATATAACTTGGCGGCGCTCAGCGGGCACTGACACAGTACATTTCAACGTTCAGTTTATTACTCACGGTTAAAATATAGCTTTGGGGTTGTAAACCCAGCGTCGTTGAGTGATATTGATTTGGACGTCTTACCTGTCTTTATGTTACTTAACCGTAATTATTCAAAGTTGTTATTCTGGCGTAAAATGGGTTGACTGTGATGATCAAGGTCGCAGTTGATGCCGTTATCATGCCAAGTGCGTATAACTTCAGTGTTGTATTATATGGTGTTCCTTAACTAGGATCATTGACGCCAAATCAGCAGGGAAGTGACATGTGTTTCCCCCTCACTAACCACCCCGCCTTCCCCCCACCCCCACCACTTTGTACAGTACAGTACATTTTCCGTTGTTTGCTTGTGATACAACGTGGAGGTACTGACCATAGCTCTTTGTGCCTTCCAGATGGGCCTGACCAGATACAGTTTGACGACACAAGTGACAAGCTGGAGGTAGAAGAAGGGGGACCTGCTGCTGTGAGATGTTCTGCTGACTGTAACCCTGCCTGTACTGTAACCTGGTGGAACATCTCCAGACAGATTACAGGACAGAGGGAGGCTGTGTTGTCTATACCAGCTGTAGATGTATCTGTGTCTGGACTGTACACGTGTCACGTCAACAACAACCATGGGAGTGCATCACGGAACCTGACGCTGGGCATACAATGTAAGTTCATATTACATGCTCACATTGGGGGCGGTGGGGTAACACAGTGGTTAAAACGTTCACTCGAGACGTCGAAGACCCCGGTTCGATTCCCCACATGGATACACTGTGTCAAGCCCATTTCTGGTACGCCCCATGATGTTGCTGGAATATTGCTAAAAGCGGCGTAAAACCCAACTCACTACACCCTCGCCATGAACACTGCACTTCAACAACAGAGTGAAAGCCTTATGAGTAAATGAGTCACGGGCATCCTTAATGCAGTACAAAAATAATTATATTTTTCCATACAACATTAAAGATTATAAAGCTGCTTACAAATAATGGCAGTTCAACACATCGTTGTAAAACTTTGATGTACTGAACGTACAGTTGTCTCCGTTTAATTTTCATTCATTGTGTCGAACCTCAGATAACTCGAAGTATTTACGTAGATTCCTTCAAATACAACGATGTTTGACTGTATATCTGATACCGTGTACCCATCACTAGTTCCAGATGACGGACCCCAAGTATCCCTCGTCATGTATGCAGCGCCCTCTGCTCTCCTGGTCCTGGCTGTGTCTCTCCTTGTCTGTGTGATACGTAGATGCCGAAGACGGAGAGGTAAGCTGGTTGTACTGGAGGATGCTGCAAAGTTACGGCGCATCGTCGTATCCAGGAATTTTGAAAGGAGGCTCCGCCAAAGCAAAAAAAAAATCTTCGATGTGATCTTTAGTTATTTTCAAAAGGGGGGTCGAACACCACCCCACCCCCACCCCACCTGGATCCGCCAGTGCAGCGTACGGTTGATTCGTTGGTTGGTTGGTTGGTTGTTTAACGCCGCACTCAGCGACATATTCCAGCCATATGGCGGCGGTCTGTAAATAATCGAGTCTGGACCAGACAATCCAGGGATCAACAAAATGAGCATCGATCTCCGCAATTGGGAACCAATGACATGTGTCAACCAATACAGCGAGCCTGACCACCCGATCCCGTCAGTTGCCTTTTTACGACAAACATGGGTTGCTGAAGATCAGTTCTAAGCCGGATCTTCACAGGTGTGTACGTTTGAGGATGACGTTATCATAGAAATGCGTGAATAGAAGTCATACTTGATGACTGTACATATTGGACTTTGTATCACTCTGTAACAATCGGTAATGGTCTCGTTTCTTTTGCCTTTTCAGAACTTCGGAAATTAAGGTAAATATACACACATTAAAACAGAGTAAACCAAGGGAATTCTTTTTAGGGTCATCTGTTCATTCTTAAAAACATACGTCTAGACAATGTGTATTTCTAATTGGTTAAGCTTGTTTCATAACTATAAAGCATATTGATGGATATTCGGCTTAGAATGTTTTAAAACGCACCGACATTTACTGAAACTATTCTCTGGATGAGGAAGTGCTTCTTTCCGGAAGTTGGTTCTGAATAACCATTGAACTCGCAAAATACAACTGTATTTTAAAACAAGGAAGCATTTGCGTATATACAGTGTCAGTGTGGCGCAGCACACCTCGTTATAGCGCGAGTAAAAATAATCCGACGATATTACTTCTACTTAATATTTCTATTTACTTATGCATTTGTCATCTCCAGGTATGCTGCCTACCTGACCGTACTGAACAACAGAGTGTCGTTTGTCAGCAGTGAGTCCCCCTACGCTACAGTCCATGACGAGGGTGTCAGCTTGTCCCACTCCGGCATGAGGTATCGTGGATCTATTCCTACCGTGACACTTGATTATTTACCTGCACTAAACATGAGAAAGTCTCGTTTTCATCTTTCGCAAAATCGATAATAAAGCTAAAACGGGGTTTGAATAACATAACCATTGACCCTTGCCATTCAAAGAAACCGAAGTATTGCTACGAAAAAAAACACATCAGAGCAATTATTCAAGAAAAAGTACCATGCTAAAGTTAGTTCACATAGATAAGACTGATCGTTACAATGTCAACACTTCGAGTTTGGTATGAGCGTGGTAGGCGCCAGTTTTGTTGTTGTTTTTGTGTTTGCTTGTTGTTGTTGGGGTTGTTTTTTGTTTTTGTTTTTGTTTGTTTTGTTTGTTTGGATTTTGTTTTTTTGTTTTTTTGTTTGTTTGTTTTTGTTTTGTTTTTTTTTGGGGGGGGGGTTGTGGGAGGGGGTCCATATTTTACGGAGGTATATAAGTTGATACTTTAATGTTAACCCCATTTCAAAATGGTTTTGGAAATAACTTAGATATAGAGAATTCCCTATGTCTTGAATGATTCATATTCTATTACCAATACTTGGCATTTCTTTTATTAAAACAAAAGGCATGCCACCTACCTTCCCCGGAGTGGCCAACAGAGAATCTGCCACCACCGAACGCCACTATGACACTACCGAACGCCACTTTGACACCACCGAGCACCACTATTACACCGCCTTATGCAACTATGACACCAACGGACGCCACTATGCTGCAATCAATGACGAAGATGTCCTCTAGTCTAAGTCAGTCCACGGGTCTAAATTCTATTGTTGACTACGAAGCTGTCCAGTAGGATTTACACTTCCACAGTTCTGTATCCTGTAGGCCTACATATGTCATCGCTCACCACTGATGTTGATTTCTTTCAGATTTTTTATTCATTTTCGCTCAATGTTTTTTCTCCGATATTTTTCGATAATAGATCGATAATTAGTTAACGATGATCGATCTCCGTGATCAAAATCGATAGCCGGCCCTAGTGGATGCAGTGGACAGATGACTACGAGCCAGATGAACACCTCCTTTCTACACTTCTGCTCACAGATGAAACATTGTACATAACTATTTCTTCAACTGTTTGTTGTTTGCAATGCCTGATCTATGGCTGCGAGTTCTGCTGTGAAGACATTGGAGTTTGCTGGGAGATTATAGGATTGTTTTAGGCTTTTTTGGGGTATGTAGATACCAAAACCAGCATTACCATTTCGGTTCATGAATCCGTCAGTATAGATGTGAAGATTATCTTGTGGATTGAAATTTTGTTGTATGGATTCTTGCACTGTGAATTTATGAAGTATATTGTGTTCAGTAAGTTTTGTGTTGGCCTGGATGTTTGGCAGTAAAACTGGAGGAAGAGATTTGTAATATGGGTTTGTATTATATTGTGTAGTATATACATCAAGTTGTTGTTTACTTTCCTGTATTTTTGTCAAAAAGCTTTTGGGTATTTGCCTTTATCGATAATGATTTTATTTTTATTTTTAAGAGATGTAGTGTTTAGCGGTTTTCAGTTTTGTTTGTAATGGGGTTGTTAAGGGATCGAGTTACATATTTCATGGTACATCTTTCCCATTCGAGAGTGAGGTCTCGTTCCCCGCTTTCTACCAATAGTGCTTGGAGGGATGTTCCTGGGAAGGCTCCAGTTATACATTTGAGTGCTTGGAATTGGATGGAACTAAGTTTTTTTTTATGTGTTTGTGCCATATCTTAAAATATTTCGTAGCCACTGAGTAATGTAGGTTTGATGAGTGCTTTATATAGTGGTATAATATATATATAGAAATGTTCGTTTGTTGCTACCCCATTTACTCAGTGATATGTATTAAATAATGTTGAGATCGGACTTGCATTTTTCTTGCATGAATTGAATGTGTTTGTTCCATGCTAAGTGCTGGTCAAGGATTAGACCTAGAAATTTTACTGTATCTGATTGCGGTAATGTTTGTTTGTTAATATAAAGATGTACGTTCTGTTTTCTTCGAATTTGTGCTTTGAATACTACAGTTGTTGTTTTAGTGGTAGATAGTTGGATAGTTGCAGTTTTCAATATGGTTAAGTGCAGCTTGAATCTGTTTTTGTGCTTTGTGTATTTTTTTTTCCATTAACCCATATTGCTCCAACATCGGCAAACTGGGATTTGTTTATGTTTTTACTGAGTTTGTTGGATATATCATCAACCATAACACTGAAGAGAGCTGGTGAGATGATACTTCCCTGGGGTGTGCCATTTTCTGGTGTTTAGTATTCGGAGATTTGATGGGGTATGGAGACCTTAAAGTCTCTGTCTGTTAGAAAGGCTGATACAAAATTTAGAAATGCCCCTTTTAAACCCTTTTTTTTTGGTTTTAAATGTTTGAATGACACCCGGTCTCAAGAGCATATCAAAAACCTTGGAGAAATCCAAAAAAGACTGCAAGTTCTGATATTTTTGTTATTTTGTGCAATTCTGATTGAGTTATGGATTTGTGCCAGATGATCTATGGTGGGGCGATTTTTGTGAAAGCCTGATTGAGCTGTATTATATAGATTTTGTGTTTGAAGATATTGTGTGAGGCGGTTGTTAACCATACGCTCTGTGGTTTTGCATATGTTAGATGTTAGAGATATTGGCCGATATGATTCGGCTTTGTTTACGTCTTGGCCTTGTTTGTGTAGGGGAATGATAAGGGAATGTTTCCAGGCTTTTGGTATTTGACTGTTTATCCCAGCTGTATTATAAAGGTTTAGTAGTTGGTTTGTTAATGGTTTAGGGGCGTTTTTTAGCATGATATAACTGGCATTGTCTTGACCTGGGGCAGTACCTTTTTAATGGTTGATAACGCAAAGTTCCATTTCAGTAAAAGGTTTACTGGGGTTTTTGTATGTTGTAGGCGGCTGCGTTTAGAGATTTGATCTAAATCGATAGCCAGTCCTAGAGGATGCAGTGGACAGATGACTATAAGCCAGATGAACACTTCTGCTCACAGATGAAAGGGGCGGTGGGGTAGCCTAGTGTTTAAGCGTTGGTTCGTCACGCCGAAGACCCGGGTTCGAATCCCCACATGGGTACAATGTGTGAAGCCCATTTCTGGTGTCCCCCCGCCGTGATGTTGCTGGAATATTGCTAAAAGCGGCGTAAAACCAAACTCAGTCAGACAGTCAGTCACAGATGAAACATTGTACATTACTATTTCTTCAACTGTTTGTGTAGCAGAATGTTTGTGTATAGATGAAGGAGTGAATACTTCAGCTGCAGTTAGAATGCTAACTACATTTCAGGACTTTCATCACGTCTCTTGTTATTGCGGTCACTGCTGTGAAGCCGTCTATACACGAGCATGGCTTGGGTCTCTTTCTCATACACACAGACACAGGGGGATCTCCTCACTTTGCCGCCACCTATTGTTCACAATGTGTGATGCAGTCAAGCGTGATGATTGGCATAGCAATAGACGTCACCAGGGGTCATCTCAAAATGTTATTCAAATATCCACAACATCAAACATCAAACTGAATCACAAAATATCAATTTACATGCCTTTTCATTCAGCATCAATAAATGTTCAATACATAGACACAGGTATACTATTATTGTTTAAGATTTTATTGACAGGTCTGCAGTCCACCTTAACCTTGCCTTTTACTAAATGTGTCGAAAGCGATCTTGGTGGGGTCAGGTTCATAATTGTGGATGTTGTTGACTGTTGTTATGAGGTCGTTGGCAGTGTTGATCGTGGCTGGACAAGTAGCCAAACAGCATTTCCAGTGTTTGCTGGCGCTTCTAGTTCTCTTCACTATGTACTTGAAACCCTGATACAGAAACCTTATGTCACCACGACTGTTTGGAATTCTTTATATAGGTACAGAGAGAAAAACACAGTTAGGTACATATAAGAGAACCACACACACACACACACACACACACACACACACACACACACACACACACACACACACACACACACACACACACACACACACAGAGAGAGAGAGAGAGAGAGACAGACACACACAGAGACACACAGACACACACACACACACTGTCGGTCTGTGCACATGTTTAACCGTAAGCAAATAATCTTGTTTATATTTCTATCGTTGCTTTATTTATCGCAATAAGTATAACTATGCAATATGTTGCCTGTAAATAGTGTCATATTTTGTTCCGATGGAACCGATAAAGACGTATTCTCTTTCACATTGTAATTTTATGAACAAATATCAACTTTTGTTATCGATGTTGTTCCTTTAATTATTATTAAGCCATACAAAAAATGAAACAATTCATGGAAACGTTTATGGTTGATATTGACTTAATCATATCACTGTGTTAATGGAGGAGAATTGAAATGTTTCTTTCTTACACGAAAGCATGAATGGTTTGTAGCCTCAATAAATATTTTTAAAACCCTGGAATATGATCGAATTTCATTTTCTCGTTGTCGTGAAATCTTTGGGGGTTTACTTATACGATCAATAATCGAATACAAATTCATTTCGAATTATTGTGTGTGTATTCGTAAGGCACAATTACAAACACAATGCTCTACTTCCTTTCTTTTTGTATGCGATCCCTGAAGATCCGGGTTAGAATTGATCTTCCGAAACCAATGCTTGTCGTAAGTGGCGTTAAACGCCAACACATAATACAATACAATCTGTTTGGATGCTTACAGAACAATCCCAAACACGAATAGAGAATAACTTAACTGAAATGTGAAAATACCACAAGGGCATATCGCCGTCCTTTGCAATACTACACTTTTGGATGTAGAATGTGAGTGTGCTTTGCAAACTATATTCAATGGATACTCCAACAGTTAACAATTCTGGATGAAGGACGTCAGTGTACTTCCAATCTACACACAATGGATACTCCAACAGTTAACAATACTGGATGTAGGACGTGAGTGTACTTCCAATCTACAGACAATGGATACTCCAATAGTTAACAATACTGGATGAAGGACGTCAGTGTACTTCCAATCTACACACAATGGATTCTCCAACAGTTAACAATACTGGATGAAGGACGTCAGTGTACTTCCAATCTACAGACAATGGATTCTCCAACAGTTAACAATACTGGATGAAGGACGTCAGTGTACTTCCAATCTACAGACAATGGATTCTCCAACAGTTAACAATACTGGATGAAGGACGTCAGTGTACTTCCAATCTACAGACAATGGATTCTCCAACAGTTCCAAACTATATCCAATGGATTCTCCAACAGTTAACAGTACTGGATGTAGGAAGTGAGTGTACTTCCAATCTACAGACAATGGATACTCCAACAGTTAACAATACTGGATGTAGGACGTCAGTGTACTTCCAAACTATATCCAATGGATTCTCCAACAGTTAACAATACTGGATGTAGGAAGTGAGTGTACTTCCAATCTACAGACAATGGATTCTCCAACAGTTAACAATACTGGATGAAGGACGTGAGTGTACTTTCAATCTTTAGACAATGGATACTCCAACAGTTAACAATACTGGATGAAGGACGTCAGTGTACTTCAAAACTATATCCAATCGATACCCCAACAGTTACCAATACTGGATGTAGGAAGTGAGTGTACTTCCAACCTATATCCAGTGGATACTCCAACAGTTAACAATACTGGATCTAGGATGTGGT